TTTGCTGCCTCTATCTGATAGAGACAGCAAGGGGGGGGAATCAACTAGTCGACTGATTAGCCGATAAGCATTTGCTGCATCCCTATTGCCAACAAGTCCACTCAATTTTACCTCTTGTTCAGTCAATCGCTAAGACAAATAAGTTTGGTTACATTTATGGGAGATAATATTGCCTATTTATTTAAAATGTCACCTGAAAATGAGAGCAGGTGTTTGCATGTGGCAGGTATGATAGATATTCATATGCCCCTTCATGCTTTGACCACCATTCCAAAGAACATGCTTCCATGCCGATGACAGTTTCCCCGGCCAGCCCTGCTGCACCTGCCGCCAGCCCTGCTTCTGGCGGCTAGTTCTCCCCTCCTCTCCCGATCTCCCCCGGCCAGCCCTGCTGTACCCAACACCTGCCCCCGCTGCCAGTTCTACCTCCTGCGGGCTGGTTCCTCCTCCCGATCTTCCCTGGCCAGCTCTGCTGCACCTCCCGCCAGCGCTGTTTCCATTGACCAGTTCTCCCCTCCTCCTCCTGAGCTCCCCCAGCCAGCCCTGCTCCCGCTGGCCGCACTCCCTTCCCCCCGATCTCCCCCGGCCAGTCCTGCTCCACCCTTCCCCTCCTGCAACCGACCAGCTCTGTTTCACATCGCTCCCCCCCCCAATCTCCCCCAGCCAGTCCCCAACCCCTCCCCTTCCGCCAGCTCTGCTTCCCTACCTCCCGCCCCTTCCTCCCGGCCAGCCCCGCTCCCCTACAGGCCGGTACCTCCCCTCCCCCCCCATGAAGTGTGTCCGATATTTTTTTTTTAAGACTACCTGGTAACCCTATAATGTCTCTCAAAAAAAGTGGCTTTGGATTTTAATTTAATCGCATGATACGCTCTTTTAGTTTTAAAGTATGGATTGCTGTATTATGCAATAAGCACTGAATTGCACATGTAACAAACAAACAAAGAAGCACAATGTCCCATACTTAAGCTTGTATTTTTTAAGTAAAGTTTAGTTGTTAATTTAAAAAAAATTAAGTTTAGTTAAGTTTTAGTTTCTTTAGTTTATGATTGAGTACAGCCTCTCTCCGAGTTACGAATGAGTTACAGACCAAACACTTGGCCGTAGATCGAACTGTTCGTAACTCGGACCCCATTGAGTTACATGCGACCGCACTGTTGGTAAGCATGGGTCGCGTTCGTAATTCGGGGACTGCCTTTACGACTGCTCCATGGAAGCTTTGGTCATAAGTGTGAACGGTCGTAACTCGAACGTTCACAACTTGGGGAGCGGCTGTATTCAATAAATGTTCGCCTTTAAAAAATAAAATAAAATTCCCTGGGTGCACACCCTAATGACATGTGCTGCGTATGCCTATGGAAGTACTTCAAAGCGGCAGCACTGCACAGAGGATTACAATTCCTGGTATGAGAGAAATTGAAAAATACTATTATCATTTTTACAGTTCAAGTATTTGTAATAATACTGCAAGAGCACTGTACACTTTGTATTCTGTGTTGTAATTGAAAATGTAGAAAAACATCCACAAGTATTTAATAACTTTCAATTGGTATTCTGTTGTTTAGCAGCATGATTAAAACTTTGAGTAATTGTGATTAATTTTTAGTTAATTGTGTGAATTAACTGTGATTAATCAACAGCCCTAATAAATAGGTTTTCCAGCTTCCAGAAACTAGTTCAACCAGTGATGTGTCATAGTTGTTATTTTCACTGAGTCAATAGGAATGGTCTGTTTTGGACAGTCAGACCAGAAATAATATGGGTTGGATTTTTCATTTAATTTCTTTCTTTAAAGAGAAACCATTTTTTTAAATTAGTTTTTCCTTTACTTTAAAAACTAAGTTGCCTTGGGCAAACTTGTTGTTCAGACTAGTTTTACTTCCCCCACTTGTATACTCTTTGTCAGTGAATAGACAATTTAATCAGAAGCCAAATTTAGTGGATTAAATACTTAATGTTCTTGCACCCCTTTCCCTGTTGCATGTAAGTTAAGGGCCTCCAATAAGCTCTTTTGGCAATAAGTATTTACAGTATCAGTGAAACACAATATTTTTCACTACCAGAAAATTAGATGAGTTTCTTGCATCACCAGGTAAGGAAATGGCAGGCAGGAGTGGCAGTTGTGACGGGATTTGAGGGAACACTTTGAGCAAAAAGAGAATGTAAATGGTAGAAAGAAGAGCCCATATTTTTTGGCTGCACAAAGATTACCATTTTAAAGAGCTGTTGTAATCAGCAGACTCACTAACGTCAAAATAGCATCATCTTACTCAGCCTTGTGACTCCAGCTCAGTGATTGTCCGACGCCTCGGTGTAAGTGTAAAGTATATGTATGTTGTGTCTACTTACTCTGGCAAGTCTTGACCTCTGTCCCCCTTTCATTTCTCTCTTGCCTCAGTCCCCACCCATCCTCTCCCATAGTCCATTATAACAAGTAGGGATGTAAAACTCCATTTAATTGGTTAACTGGTTAACTGGTTAAACGTGATATTTACCTGGTTAACCGATTAAATGGGGGTGGGCGGGAAGGTGCGCTCACCCCACCGCACAAAGGGGATGCGCTGGCTAGACCGGAGTGTACTTGTCCATGGCAAGCCTTAAGGGGTTGGAGCATCCCCCTGCTTGCAGCCAGTGGGGAGTTGCTCCAGCTCCCATCTGTTAACCAGAACTGGTAAGCCTCCCCCCATTAAGGATGAAGCTAACCAGTTAATCTTTCACACCCCTAATCCCCAGCAATTCATGCTCTTTTCCCTGTTTCCAGGGTTGCTTGTGTTTCCCCTGTCCTACAGATCCTTTCCACCTGCCTATTGCTCTAATTCACTTCTCTCCTTTGCTTTTAAACTCCTTGGATGATCCAGGCCCACCAACGCATGGAAGGAAGGGGGAGTAAAGGGAGCAACTGCCCTAGGGTCCCGCAGTTCAAAGCTATGGATTTGAAATTTGTGCAGGCATTGGCTAATCCGTTGCCCCATCCCACCCCATCCATGGTTAAGTGAGCCACAGTATGATCACTAGAACTGTGTGCTAAGAAAAGGCTTGCTACAGAATACACATCTTGGTCTCATTGTTACAGCCAATGGGACTTCTTGGAGAGTCAGAACTGTACACCATAGCATGCATGAAATCAGCAAGCCTCCATGTATTAATGTTATGTTAATGTTCCCCTGAGAGGGATCCAAGGCCCTTTTCATCTAGATAAGCTATTGCCATTTCGCTGATTATTATGTGTGGCTGTGAGGCTTAAAGATAATGTGGGAGGAACAGGAACGAAACTGCTCTTATTTTAAAAAAGGCTGTGTTTTTGGATTTCAAACACAATTACTAATACTGTACTTAAATAGCAATATAGTAAAATATATATAATTACTATTTTGGTACAAGCATTGTACACTAAACTTCCGATAATCCGGCACCTTTAGGACCCAGGAGGTGCCAGATTATCAGATTTGCCGGACTATCGGAAGGGGGGACTATGAGGGGTCTGGGGTGGGGGGGGATGCCACCCCAGACCCCTCATAGCCCCCCCTTCCGATAGTCCGGCTCTGCCCCAGGTGTCCCTGATTCAGCCGCTGCTGGTCAGTTTCAGCAGCGGCTGAATCGGGGATGCCTGCAATAGAGCAGCTGGGGTGCTGCCGGATTGGTCCGATAGCGCTGACCCTTGGCGCGGCGAGACCAACCCGGCAGCACCCCAGCTGCTCTTGGGGACGCCTGGGGCAGAGCAGCTGGGGGGCTGCCGGGTTGGGCCCCGCAACCCCGAGGGGCAGCGCTACGGGACCAACCCGGCAGCACTCCAGCTGCTCTACCCTAGGCGTCCCCAATTCAGCCACTGGTCAGTTTTAGCAGCGGCTGAATCGGGGAAGCTGGTGGCAGAGCAGCTCCAATGGTCCAGCTGCCCAGAGCACTTCCGGGTTCCTGATGGTGCCGGACCATCAGATGCCGGACCATTGGAGTTTTATTGTACCTACATTTAATTTACTAGCTGAGAAGTAGACTTCTTACAAGATCACTGTCAGATCCATTCTGAATACTTCCTGAGAATTTACAAATTGAGCTCTAAGTATGCACTATAATTCCAAGGTGGAAAATGTTGGGTGAAATGATGCAGCTGTTCCAGTGAGATTTTGGTAACACTTTTAGGTTTCTAACTGTAGTAATAGTAGAGAAAATCTCTCTCTCTCCTCTGCAGGAAAGGGAGTGTAGCTGCTTCAAAGTGTATATAGTTTCCCAAGGCATTTACAATGCAGAAAACTTTCCACATCCACCTCACCTTCTTTCCCTTTCCAACTATATATAAAGTCTTATTCGTACTGGGGATTTCATCTATAGTATCCAGACACCAGTGCAGACTCACAGGATTCTTTTGTAGCCACACTAGAAGATGCAGTATGCACCAATGCAGCTTACTGCTGCTTGAAACTGGGATAGGATGTGATTCGCACTGATGAAGTTTGTAATGACTTTGCCTATGTACACTGAGAGCCAGATTCACAGCTGGTGTAAATTTGCATAGCTCCACTGTCCCCCTGAATCACCTGAGAATTGCTTTGCACAAGTGCAGTTGTAGTAGTGATTGGTTCTCATTGGCTAAAACGGGGGTAAATCTCTAGCCTAGACAAGTTCTAAATGTCCATTCCTTTAACTGGACGTAATAAAACCTAAACAGCCTGGCTAACATTTTCCGCCACAAATAAGTGATCTGTGTCTATTAGACCAATCTGTCTTCATTACACCATTCAGATTATCCCTGCAGCTCGGTTGGCTGGTTTCTGCTTCACTTAGCTTACTGGAAGCCACTTTGCTATTTCTCTTGTCAGAAGAATCTTATTGTGTAATAATAATAAACTTTGAGGACTAAACCATTTTTCAAACACCACTTCATTCTAAAGCCTGCGGTCAGACAGCAGGGGGCCGAAAGGGAGGCTGGAGCACCAGACAGACTCCCCAATGCCTGGGCGGTGGGGGAGCCCTGAGCCTCAAGGGCTGTATCCAAGCAAGCTGGGGCCCGCAATAATTGTCAACTTTATTATTTCACTGCTGATTGTTTCACATCCAACTAATGTGATCTTCCCACCCCAAGCTGTCTCCTAAATCTACTCAGATGCCATCTCCTATTTTTTAATGTATATGAAGGTGTCATGGATTCACTAGGTCATGTCTATAAGCAACATTTTAAACACATTCTTAGCTTTTTGTAATAAAGCAGAACTGACCTGCTCTGTGAGAAACTATTGCATTTTGATGCAATATCATTTTCTTTCCTTTCTTTCCTGCCCAACGACATTTGGACAGAGGCCATGCCTTACCCACTGAAGCATAAAAAGATAATATAAAATATTCTATCAGACACCAAAGCGCATAAAATAAAGTGGAAAGAAGCACAGTGCAAAGTAAAATAATGTTCTTTTTTACAAAACAACAAATAGTTTTGCAGCAGCTTAGAGACTAACAAAAGATGTAGATGGTATCATCTACATTTTTTGTTAGTCTCTAAGGTGCTGCAAGACTATTTGTTGTTTTTTAAGTTTTTCCAGTTACAGACTAACACGGCTACCCCTCAGAAGCTCTTTATTATAGAGTACTGTGTATGCTTTTATTAGCTTGGACCATTTGGTAACTTTTTCCCAAGAACAGTATGAGTTCAAGTGCTGGGCTAGCAATCCATTGTTCTTGGAAGGTGAGGTTAGCAATTGTACTCTTGATAGACTAGAAAAACTTTGTTTGGTTCGTGTTTGAGGAGTAGTCTCAACTGTTGAATGTTCTTTTAATAGATATTCCATGCTATTAACTGCACAGGTCCAGTAATGCGAAGGACAATCTCTGTGTCACTTGCATTAAACTCCATGCCAATTCCACGCTGCAAATCTACAGTCGCTCAATGATGAAGTTAAAAGGACCAGTCTCTGGCTGTCTTAACAATGGAAGGTCAGTCTTGTGCTAACATAGAGACTATCCAGCAAGTACTCTCCGAATCAAGTCCCCCATCCTTCCTTAATGTGCTGAAAATACATCGAGAACTTTTAGTCAGCAAAATCCGAAACACACAATGTTTGATTGACAACTTGATTAAGAACGAATACTTCTCTATTGAAGATGCAGAGATTGCCGTGCAGTTTCCTACTCAGGCCGACAAGGTATAGTCTTATTTCACATTCAGCTTAAGTTTTTTATTAACCATGTAAAACCGCATAAGTTGGAGCCTGCATGGTAACTTTAACTCAACTGCCTTTTATATTTTTATCATGTTTGATACTCTCGGTCTACTTCCTATGGGTCAGCGTCCTCGTCACCGGTATCACAGCCAATAGTTGGTGCTCTAGTGAGTAGATGCAGCAGAGAGGCTATTGAATGGGTAGGATGACTGAACAGTTGAGTTCTCTATCACCTTGAGGTGATCCTGCCAGTGCGGAAGGTCATTGATGAGGCAATCTAAGGATGCTTATACAGTTGCTAGTTTTGCTCTATGGATAACAACAGAACACCTGCACCTTTGACAAGCACTAGATTCACACAGAAAATAAATGAATGTATTAAAACCATTCTATAGGATGGAAATCGTTGGTGTATTTGGGCAGTGAACAGCAGAGGGTGGAGTAGATAAACTGCTTGGTTACTAAAAAACTGAGGACTTGATTGTCAAACCAAAAGCAAGCACTCAGGACTTGTCCACAGTGCAAAGGCAGCAAATCAATTTAAGTTACACAACTTCAGTTATATGAACAGCATAGCTGAAGTTCACTGCAGTGTGTTGACTGGAAATGCTCTCCTATTGACTCCCCTGGCGCTTCTCATTGAGATGGAGTACTAGAGTCGAGGGGAGAGCAATCGACTTGGATCGTTCACTGCCTCATTGATCTGACCCATAGTGTAGGCAAGCCCTCAGTGTTGGTCCAACTCGGCTTTTGTTTATTTTATTAGGACAATCAGTGTTCGTATAGGGTCTGAACCCACTCCCATTGAAGTTGATGGGAGCCTTTCTGCTGATTTTAGTGAGAGTTGCATTGTGTCCTCAAATCATGGCAATTAACCTCTGTAAATCTATATGTTTGCCGATATAAGAAAAGCTCTAAAACATACATTTACCAAAAAATCTGTGATGCGAGCAAATACTTAAGAGGGAAACAGAGTTAATATCAATCAAGGTCTATATGAGACCAGGAAGGTCGGCTTAAGGTATGCAACTCCAGCTACATAAATAACATAGCAGGAGTTAGCATACCTTAAGCTGAGCTTGATGCTGTTTTCACAGTGGGAGGTTGACAGGAGCAAACACTCCCGTTGGCTTACCTTACTCCTCGCGAATCGATGTGTACCAGCGACGACTGGGCACACCCTCAGCATTCCATTTAGTGAGTCTTTACTAGACCCGCTTAGTTGAATGCCAGAAGATCATTCTCTGACATGGTGGGTGGAGACGTGGCATAGATGGAGCCCTAGTTTAAAGGAGAAAAAGTGTTCATTTTAAAATTGTAATCATTTTTTCTAATGAAGGCTTTCCCCTCATTTAAACTAGGACCCTCCTATGTCATAGTAAAGGTTTTATTTAAATACATATGGACATTCTGTATATTTCTTCATGAAATTGAGGAAAACCTTGATATCTTGACTAGGGATGTGAATGACTAGTTGACTATCTGATAAGCAAATGCCATTTGGGATAGTCGACACATTAATCAACTAGTCACTTCCCTCCGTCCCTTATTGCCTCTATCAGAAAGAGGCAGCAACGGGGGAAGGAAGAAGAGGGGGTGCTTCAGAGTGGCAGCGCTGCGTGGAGGCCCGGGTTCTGCCACTTTGAAATGCCCCATTGAACCCTTGAGTCCCCCACTGGTCCTGTGCTCCCCGCAGCGCTTTCACCTTTGAAGTGGGCTGTTGCTGCACTTCAAAGATGGAGGTGCCCCTATCGTCTAATCGAATAGTTGATGCAAATTGCATGGACTATTCGATTAGCCAGTTAATCTAAATTTAACATCCCTAATCTTGTCACACTTTGGGTCTAGATTTCTGTCTCCAGTGGCAAATAATAGCAAAAACTGCTTGGGTTTCCAATTCTTCCACTAGCGAGAGGCATTTTTTCCCAATACAATGATTTAATACAGTACCTGACTGTGATTTCCCTTAAGAACCAGTTATGCAGCTCTTGAGGTTTCAGAACTATGTCACAGCTAGAGGAGAGTGAACTACAAAAGATTCAGAATCCTGGGCTTTTCATCAATGTGCAGATTCCCCTAGTGTAATGACACTTATTTGAGAGTGAAAATTGTAACTGGTGCTTACTCTGTGTAGCTAGCCTAAGCTGGGAGTTGAACAGTGGTGTATTGTATGATTACTTTGGGGTCTTTTTTTTTGTTCAGTAGTATAACATAGTAATAAAGCACTCAGGCCAGCTCTACACTAGACCGAGCATCTCGACTTAAGGTACGCAACTCTAGCTACTTAGAATATGTAGCTGGCATCGGCTTTCCTTAAGCTGAGCTTGGTGGCATCCCCACAATGGAAGGCTGATGAGAACAAACGCGCCCATCGGCTTCCCTTACACCTTGCAAAAGGAAGAGTACCAGATGCCTGTGGGAGCACCCTCTGAGTTAGTTTAGACTCGCTAAATCAAAATTTGCTACATCAAACTCTGGAAGATTGATC